GCAGCTCCTGTGATCTGGATATTGCACTTGGCCATATTGGGATTTTGAAAATATTTCACTGTATAGTTCAGGCCTGGTGCAAAATGCAGATAACAATTGTAGATAAAAAGGTACACCAGAATCGTTCTGTTAGGATAAAGCATAACAATATCAGGCTGTGGAGAAATTATGCAAAACTAGTGCTACTGGTGTTAGTGTATACACAGTATGACAAATGAACCCAGTGAACATGGTTAACTCCTGCATGTACACTATAATCAGTGTTAGTCGTTAACACCTTTTTCTGGAAAATTATGTAATTATTTTTCAAAGTTGTCATGCAAATTGTTGCTCTTTCTGTAAATCCACTCTAAAAAAAAGTTGCCTGAAGTTTACTTAGAAACGTCCTCTGGTATATTTCAACTATTTGTCAACATTCTGTCCAACTTTTCTAAGCAAAGACAGAAAAGCTGATTTTGTTTGGCAGCACATCTAAACATTAAACATCAATGCTGTTTTCTCTCCTGACGATTCACAGAATAGAGAAAAGTGTTCCTCTGGTGTCCAAAGCTAACACAACGTAGCCACCACACTTGCCGGTGGTGTGGTTATTGTGCTACAGGTGACCCTTAGAACCCTGATACTGTCAGATCGCCCATTTCTACCCCTCAGACATCCACAAGTCTTCAACAAATCCCCTGCTGCTCAGCTCCATCCAGCACATTCTCATTCTGCATGTCTCGCCTCTTTTCCTTTCATTTCAATGCCTATGCTGGAACTCGGATTCAAAGAGCAGAGTGCATCTGGAGACAAGGAGAGACACTGTCCAGATGAAGTCAATGTCCTTTCTATAGGTACACCAAAAGGTGCACCTCGTTAGGAAATAATGCCAGCGCTCTACCTTAACTCCTGCAAAGACATGCACACGTTGTGCACACAATTACTCCTGTGAAAAGCAAGACAGAGGCAGAGCAAAGGGAGAGGGTTCAACATCCAAACCCAAGATATTCATTATTTGCAGAAAAAGGTGCAGTCAGATAGCACAAGTCAGAAAACACAAACCACAAACAAAACGAACCCACTGCTTGCATTTTGATGCAGGTCTAAGCAAAACAACAGGTCTTGCATTGTTTCATGCACTTTTCAGAGGCTTTTGTGTATTCACCTTAACATGGCTGTACTCTGCCTTGCCGGACTCACTGCTGACGGGCTTGTTCTCGGGCCTGGGTTTGAGGACTTGGCGGAGCGGACTGGAGATGGGTAGGCCTGTCACGCTGATTCCATCTGAAAAGACACCACCGGACCACACATTTAGTGAAAAACAACAACAACAACAAAACCAACAACAACCATAAAATACAGTCGTGACTCGACAATCTGACCCTTAACAATCCGAAAACCTTGCTATCCGACAGGTTTTTAGGAAAAACGAACGGAACCCATTAAAATAGCCTTGGATTCCGACTCTGACATGACATTTTATGTCACCAATAAGGATAACGGCGTAATATCTGAATTAACAATCCGACAGATTGGCCACGTTCACACTGCAGGACTTGATGCTCAATTTTTTTGCGAGTTTGTTCACATTTCCAGTTCAATGCAACTTGTATGTGATCTGCTGTGTGAAGTTCAGACGACCCAAAACTGTCCCGCATTCGCAGAAGAGGACACGACGACGTCACATGCAGCGAGCGTGCTCAGTGTTTACGGAAATAAACACGTATGGTGGCGGTGGCGGCCGAACTGTGACCACTATTCTAAACTAGCATCAGCAGCCAAGTACTGCCCGTGCATTCCGGCCACTTCCACCCCATCAGAGCGCACCCCCGGGGTAAAAGTGGTCCCCCCGACTGCGCCAAATATATTTATGATTAATTAGGCTGAATATCCAGAGACCTATTCGGACCATCCCTACTAGTTATAACGACTATGAACAATAATTAACAACAAATTGCCCTTCAAGCATCAAGCCCTCCTCGTACCTCGACCTCCGTCTTGATAATCCGACAGCTTTGCTATCCGACATAAAAGAAGGTTTTACATTCAGTGTGGGATTATGGAGTCACGACTGTAACTAAGTATGGAGACAATACTATCATTAAACAGCAGTTAGCAGAGTGGTGAGGCAAACATTCTCACTCTGTTACAGCAGCAGTCTGATGAATTACAGATTTTTATAGGAGCTATTTTGTGATGAATCGATTTCATTATTTTTTTTAATGTACTCAATTTTCCTCCTCTAGCTCTTGTTCATTTAGTGATTTCTCATAAGAACCATGTGCCTTATAATTACTTGATGATACCTAGGAAACAATCCTTCTCTTGTTGCTTTGGATCAAAGGTAGGAGTATAAATGCATATTAATTTTATTTAGTAAGTCAATTTCATAATGTGTGATTGGAAAAACTTCTTGTGTCTGTCTGTACACAGATACTAGTATCTAAGGAGTTATTGTACATCCTGTACAGCCGGTCAATGTGTATGAACTGTTGAATTTCATTGTAAAACGCCATTTCTTTGTGCAGAAACCAGAGAACACAGCAACAAGAAAAATGTACAGTTTACAATTATGTTTTTTGGGGTTTAAATATATGCTATGCTCTGTCTTTTTAGTCATCTATGGTCATGCTACATACAGTACAGTCTGTTTTTTTTCCACTGGATACAATCACTAAATAGTGTTCATCCAGTTGTTCCACAGCAGCCATAGCTCAGCATGGCAGGCCTGGGACTTCTCCTGAAGCCAAAACGACTTTGCAAGAAGAGCAACAGTTGACATATCGAAAGTGTAGAAGGTTTTTTTTTTTAGACTTTCCCAAACACAAGAGCAAAAGAGTAAAAGTACAAGTAATGGGTTTGTCTGTTCAAATGTATTTCCATAAGCAAGGGGCATGTCATTAACTCACTGTGCTCTGATGTTATAATTACTGCTTATGTAAGACCTGCTGTTAAACACCCAGAGCACAGGAGTCAAGATGCTAGTATATCAGAGTTTATGGTGATGTTGTAATCTTCCAGTCTCCGACATTTAGCAGCACATACTGCATGTAGTCACTGACTTTTGGTAACTGACTTATCAACCAACTCACACAGCGTCAGCATTTGTATAACACCTGAACACCTTTGCACTCGACAGACTGAAAACAAACAAACAAACAAAAACAAAATTCCTATTTCCTCCCACACGACCTGTTACTGGCATCAAGGCCCTGTCACACTTGAACTTGTTCGATGACACTTATCCAGATTGTTTTCTCCTGACTAGATCCTTGCTTGTGTTGTATCTGCTCTCAGACGTACATCGCTTCGGATAAAAGCGTCCGCTAAATGAAATTGTAGACTGGTATATCGACCGATCTAAATTCAGCTGGCAAAAGCTAAAGTCATCAGCTAGAAGCAACAAATCTGCTTTAGTTTACTTCTGTGTAAAATATCCAGTTTNGTCCACCTTAAGGAACTGAAGAGAAACTGCTAAACTGAAGATATACTCTGTGGTATGGAAATCACATTTTACTATCTAAATAATTCAGGTACATGGGTAGAAATGTGTTTTATCTACCCTGATAGCAACAAAAATACATCAAACAAGTGTAAAGTAAGGCCAAAAATAAATCGAATTACAATTATCTTGTCAGATGTTGCAATTACAATATAAAATCCAGTTTTAGTAGGAAGGGTAGTTTTTTTTTCCTTCTTCATTGAGAAGAAAATCTATAAAATTGATGATGTGACGTTGCCGTGATCTCTGCCTAACAAACACATTCCCCTACATGTGGAGAATATGATTTGTAGGCTGGGTTCTCTTTGTCGCACCACAGTGCTTTATTTATAACTTAATGTTGTGAAAGATTTTATCTCTATCAAAAAATAAATAGCAGCTCCTGTGATCTGGATATTGCACTTGGCCATGTTGTGATTTTGAAAATATTTCACTGTATAGTTCAGGCCTGGTGCAAAATGCAGATAACAATTGTAGATAAAAAGGTACACCAGAATCGTTCTGTTAGGATAAAGCATAACAATATCAGGCTGTGGAGAAATTATGCAAAACTAGTGCTACTGGTGTTAGTGTATACACAGTATGACAAATGAACCCAGTGAACATGGTTAACTCCTGCATGTACACTATAATCAGTGTTAGTCGTTAACACCTTTTTCTGGAAAATTATGTAATTATTTTTCAAAGTTGTCATGCAAATTGTTGCTCTTTCTGTAAATCCACTCTAAAAAAAAGTTGCCTGAAGTTTACTTAGAAATGTCCTCTGGTATATTTCAACTATTTGTCAACATTCTGTCCAACTTTTCTAAGCAAAGACAGAAAAGCTGATTTTGTTTGGCAGCACATCTAAACATTAAACATCAATGCTGTTTTCTCTCCTGACGATTCACAGAATAGAGAAAAGTGTTCCTCTGGTGTCCAAAGCTAACACAACGTAGCCACCACACTTGCCGGCGGTGTGGTTATTGTGCTACAGGTGACCCTTAGAACCCTGATACTGTCAGATCGCCCATTTCTACCCCTCAGACATCCACAAGTCTTCAACAAATCCCCTGCTGCTCAGCTCCATCCAGCACATTCTCATTCTGCATGTCTCGCCTCTTTTCCTTTCATTTCAATGCCTATGCTGGAACTCGGATTCAAAGAGCAGAGTGCATCTGGAGACAAGGAGAGACACTGTCCAGATGAAGTCAATGTCCTTTCTATAGGTACACCAAAAGGTGCACCTCGTTAGGAAATAATGCCAGCGTTCTACCTTAACTCCTGCAAAGACATGCACACGTTGTGCAAACAATTACTCCTGTGGAAAGCAAGACAGAGGCAGAGCAAAGGGAGAGGGTTCAACATCCAAACCCAAGATATTCATTATTTGCAGAAAAAGGTGCAGTCAGATAGCACAAGTCAGAAAACACAAACCACAAACAAAACGAACCCACTGCTTGCATTTTGATGCAGGTCTAAGCAAAACAACAGGTCTTGCATTGTTTCATGCACTTTTCAGAGGCTTTTGTGTATTCACCTTAACATGGCTGTACTCTGCCTTGCCGGACTCACTGCTGACGGGCTTGTTCTCGGGCCTGGGTTTGAGGACTTGGCGGAGCGGACTGGAGATGGGTAGGCCTGTCACGCTGATTCCATCTGAAAAGACACCACCGGACCACACATTTAGTGAAAAACAACAACAACAACAAAACCAACAACAACCATAAAATACAGTCGTGACTCGACAATCTGACCCTTAACAATCCGAAAACCTTGCTATCCGACAGGTTTTTAGGAAAAACGAACGGAACCCATTAAAATAGCCTTGGATTCCGACTCTGACATGACATTTTATGTCACCAATAAGGATAACGGCGTAATATCTGAATTAACAATCCGACAGATTGGCCACGTTCACACTGCAGGACTTGATGCTCAATTTTTTTGCGAGTTTGTTCACATTTCCAGTTCAATGCAACTTGTATGTGATCTGCTGTGTGAAGTTCAGACGACCCAAAACTGTCCCGCATTCGCAGAAGAGGACACGACGACGTCACATGCAGCGAGCGTGCTCAGTGTTTACGGAAATAAACACGTATGGTGGCGGTGGCGGCCGAACTGTGACCACTATTCTAAACTAGCATCAGCAGCCAAGTACTGCCCGTGCATTCCGGCCACTTCCACCCCATCAGAGCGCACCCCCGGGGTAAAAGTGGTCCCCCCGACTGCGCCAAATATATTTATGATTAATTAGGCTGAATATCCAGAGACCTATTCGGACCATCCCTACTAGTTATAACGACTATGAACAATAATTAACAACAAATTGCCCTTCAAGCATCAAGCCCTCCTCGTACCTCGACCTCCGTCTTGATAATCCGACAGCTTTGCTATCCGACATAAAAGAAGGTTTTACATTCAGTGTGGGATTATGGAGTCACGACTGTAACTAAGTATGGAGACAATACTATCATTAAACAGCAGTTAGCAGAGTGGTGAGGCAAACATTCTCACTCTGTTACAGCAGCAGTCTGATGAATTACAGATTTTTATAGGAGCTATTTTGTGATGAATCGATTTCATTATTTTTTTTAATGTACTCAATTTTCCTCCTCTAGCTCTTGTTCATTTAGTGATTTCTCATAAGAACCATGTGCCTTATAATTACTTGATGATACCTAGGAAACAATCCTTCTCTTGTTGCTTTGGATCAAAGGTAGGAGTATAAATGCATATTAATTTTATTTAGTAAGTCAATTTCATAATGTGTGATTGGAAAAACTTCTTGTGTCTGTCTGTACACAGATACTAGTATCTAAGGAGTTATTGTACATCCTGTACAGCCGGTCAATGTGTATGAACTGTTGAATTTCATTGTAAAACGCCATTTCTTTGTGCAGAAACCAGAGAACACAGCAACAAGAAAAATGTACAGTTTACAATTATGTTTTTTGGGGTTTAAATATATGCTATGCTCTGTCTTTTTAGTCATCTATGGTCATGCTACATACAGTACAGTCTGTTTTTTTTCCACTGGATACAATCACTAAATAGTGTTCATCCAGTTGTTCCACAGCAGCCATAGCTCAGCATGGCAGGCCTGGGACTTCTCCTGAAGCCAAAACGACTTTGCAAGAAGAGCAACAGTTGACATATCGAAAGTGTAGAAGGTTTTTTTTTTTAGACTTTCCCAAACACAAGAGCAAAAGAGTAAAAGTACAAGTAATGGGTTTGTCTGTTCAAATGTATTTCCATAAGCAAGGGGCATGTCATTAACTCACTGTGCTCTGATGTTATAATTACTGCTTATGTAAGACCTGCTGTTAAACACCCAGAGCACAGGAGTCAAGATGCTAGTATATCAGAGTTTATGGTGATGTTGTAATCTTCCAGTCTCCGACATTTAGCAGCACATACTGCATGTAGTCACTGACTTTTGGTAACTGACTTATCAACCAACTCACACAGCGTCAGCATTTGTATAACACCTGAACACCTTTGCACTCGACAGACTGAAAACAAACAAACAAACAAAAACAAAATTCCTATTTCCTCCCACACGACCTGTTACTGGCATCAAGGCCCTGTCACACTTGAACTTGTTCGATGACACTTATCCAGATTGTTTTCTCCTGACTAGATCCTTGCTTGTGTTGTATCTGCTCTCAGACGTACATCGCTTCGGATAAAAGCGTCCGCTAAATGAAATTGTAGACTGGTATATCGACCGATCTAAATTCAGCTGGCAAAAGCTAAAGTCATCAGCTAGAAGCAACAAATCTGCTTTAGTTTACTTCTGTGTAAAATATCCAGTTT